AAAAAAAAAAAAAAAAAAAAAGAAGTAAAGTTGATTGGAAAAAATGGCAATAAAAAGTGTAATTTTTTCATTCAGCGAAATTTTATTTGTGAAATTCTGCTTTAAAAATCATCTTACCAGTTCTCTGGAGCGCAATTTTAGTTAGTTTTAAAAACTTCAACTCCACAGTCACTTTGTTCACCGTTTTAGTGCTTCAATTTCATTCCTTTATCACTTTCAAAACCTTCAGCATTTGTGGTAAAACTGCTATTTGTTAAACTCACGCATCCCAGTGATTGTAGCATTTATTTAAACTTTGTTAGCATAAGCGATCAGAGGAATCGAGTCGGATACTGCAACATGGAATTTAAGGTAAGAGGAAGAAGGAATTAAGATTTATTGCAGAAGATTAGTAATCATTGTATTACGTCAAAAGTATCGGGCAACTGCCTACACAGTTCTCTTGCTTCTTCTTAGATTCTCCACTTGTTTCTTTTCTCGAGTGATATTTGATATTATTAATTAACAGAAATTTTTACGTTTTGAGTTCATTAGAACGTAAGATACATAAGTTGTAGTTTGATTGAGCAATGCAGTGACATTATGTATCATATAAAAGGAAAATACCTATTGCTACTGATTGTTACACAGCGGTATATGTGATTGTTGACTGCCATTCAAAATTAGATATAATAAAAAGCAAAATCCAAGAGCGCTCTCGGGCTCTACAGTATCTATAAGCAGTAGAACATATTTCCAACTTCTCTAGCTCTATTTAGGTCAAAACTTAAAACAGTTTACGTCATTTTTACCAATTTTGATCTCCTGATTTCTTGTCTTAGTGCGCTGTTCTTAATGTGAAATAATAAATTCAAATATTGCCTGTAATACAGAACGATGTTGAAGACGGAAGCGGTTGACGTTGATACTGATGCCGCATCATCTGAATGGTCATCTCAGTGTTCTGAAAGCTCGGATCATTTCAAAAATTTTTGTGAAGATATATTCGGCAAAGAAAGGCATCCATTTTTTGATTACGTTAGTTGACTTCGCTTTAGTCATTTATTGCTATATTTATATTCCTAAGTAATTGCATATCCAATTGTTTTTATAGATTAACAGTACTTTTATTGTGACCTTTGAACCGGCAGTTTAAAAGACTGATATCTTGGCTGCCACACTCTAAGTATTCTAAAACCTCTATAGGTATTATAAAATGTTAATGGTTTATAACATAATTGATTGGTGGTATTTTTCGATCGTAACACCGTTTTCTAGTTCGCTTAGGTGGAAGATGCATCTGCAAGGAGGATAGGAACGTTGAACGAATTAATTCTTGCCAAGAAGTTGAGAAACATGGCAAGGAAGTCATTGTTCCTTAAAGTTTGTGTTTTCTTTATCACATGCCTTTTACCTTACTGTTTGTTATACTTAAAGAATTAATTTTAATTAACAATGAACAGGTTTTTTTTAATGAGTAGATCAACTGTTGTAGCTATAAATAACTTTGCCTGTTCCATTAAAAAAAAAATTATGGCATCACATATAACATTCACTTCCTATTTTGGTTTCTTTTTGCTAGGCTGATTTCAAATTTTATTTGAAATCATGTTACAAGGTCGTTACTTCAGAGAGCCGCAGTGCTAGTTGAAATTTGTCATTTCCTAATCTGCGGTATCTTCTTTGTTTGTTTCGACACACGGACTGCTGCAATATCATTCTGTTTTCCGGAACCCTCGAGGTTCATAGATGTCTTCTTGATAATTACTGGGAGCAGTGTTGGACTCATTGGAACACTTTGTTCTATAAGGCCTTTGGTGACATCCTTCTTGGTACTGCAGGTACTTCTAACCGTATGAAAAGTTAGGTATAAATACAGTGCTGTACTTGATTTTTGAATTAATTCGAATTTTTAGGTGGTAATAATTTGCTATATAGTTCTCGATTTTTTAATTCTACTCCGTAATGTTATTGCTGGAGTATTTACTGGTACGATTTCACTGTGGAAAGTTTAGTTTCTTTGTCAAGTTGATCAAAACTGGAGCGTTTATGCACTACAGACTAACATATTTTACATTTTTTAGATTGGATTATAGTGATCTTCTACATCTGCTTCTTCGGCACTTATTCTGCTTCAGTTATTCTGATCCGGCAATATCAACTTGACATGCTTAACAGAACCGCACTGAAGAGCCGTCAGAGATATGAGAAAAAAGTACACTTTAAAAAAAAAAGAAAAAAAATCTTTTTTTACCATATTTCATTTAGAATCACCTATAAGTTGGGTAACTGCCAAGTGTAGGTGCTTGCCCTATGACATATACAGGTAGTGCTTAGGAACCAGTTAGAACTAAGTTGTTCTTTGTTCCATTTCTTTTTTCTTTCTTGTTGGCTTTCTGTTCTGACGATTTCTTCGCATTTATTTAGAAATCATTTTCCACCAATGTTTTGCCAATGACACCGGAAGTACGAGTTTTCAATCCTTCTGGAAATCTTGAAGTGCTGCTTCCTCCCTCTCCATTACGATCACCTCTTCCTGATTCTGTTAGGTATGACGAATCACCAACCGTATTTCCTGAATATAAAACTAGTGGTTTACAATGAACAACATCGGTTTTTTTTTGTATAATACTATTGTATTTGATATATATATATACAAGTATAGAACTCTACATTATTTTTTCAAGATCTGTCTTAATCTTTATGCATTGAAGCTAAAAAATAGTTTATGCTATATACTGAAACAGACTAGAAATGCCATCAATGTGTCTTGTTTGCCTGCATTATTTGTTATGAAAATAATTTTGTTTTGCTAACCTTACTGATGTTTGTTGATGTTGATACGAATTTTATTTAGAAGTTATTTTTAATTGTCATAACGCTTGTTGGGTGTTTGAAAAGCATTGATTAGTTCTTGCATTAAACTGCAGTATAGAAGTTCTCTGTATCCCAGGAGTCTATGAGGAACTTCAATGTTGCCCAGTTATACGTTTCCCATAAAATAGATTTACGGAGTGGTCTAGGAAAGGTTTTAAATATTTTAGTGAAACGGATGAGGATGGATGATTAATAAAATTGCTGTATTTTCTGATGACATTTATCAAAACAAAGTTTGAGGTTAATCAACAGATTCAGCGGATTTTAAGTATTATATAAATGCATCAAGAAATGCAGGTGTTCTGTTTCCACGTGTATATTAAAGATTATGGTAATGGTTGGGAAGTATGTGCCCTTTCAAAAACCAACAAATATTTATCATTAGGCTAAGTTATCTTGAAAATGAATTGACCGACCTATAGAATGTTATGTTTAATCGGGTAAATTTTTCTCCCAGCAGATGAAATTAGCATTTACTCTTTACTTTTTACTTGGGTATTGATTTTCTAGAAAAAGTTGTGCTTTTATATATCTTCTTACGATTTCTATAAGTAACCGTTAGCAGGCAACCACTGTTTTTCTCTAATTATTTTTCCACGCAGCAAAGACCAGCATTCCTTTTCTTAAAATAAGAGGCCGTTGGAATCGAATTTATAGACCATTTCCGAGTTTTTATAAGCTTTCATACTTGTGAAATTGTTTAGAGCATTTGAAAGAAAGTTAAGAAGACTTGCAAAGAGTTGATGATATGCCAAATTTCTTTTATTTCATAAACTGTTTTAGATTTGTAAAACGCCTTTCAGTTACTTATTTCGTAGTTAAACATGTATACCAAATCTACGTCGTAGTAATATATACAGCAGTCTAGAAGGAGGTTTAGACAATCAGATAATGCCTCGACGGCCATACTTCATTTGTGCTGTCGATCTTAAGATAGTTTTGAAGATTTTTGGCACATTGTATCTCTCAGTCTCTTCACTAGTATCAAGCACTTAGCAATGTCTCTAAATCACCTATGTCCTAACTTTTTACTCATTTAGAGAGGAGATTTTAGGACTGTACTTGAAGAAAATTACAATAAACCCAGTATGGGTTGATCTTCAAATATTATAAATCCTTTACTTACGATGTAAGCTAAAACGTCATTGTCACTCGGAGCTACGCAATATGAGCATCTCATTATTCACTGCAGCTTTTTTAGCTTACACACATTTGTTTTGCTATGCTTTTTCCAAATTTTCATCTTTCACAGTTCCACTAATTTTTTGCTGGCAAATGCTTCTGGTTATTATTCATTAATTACTGAGTTAAAAACCTTTCACTTATATTCTCAATTTTAGAGCACTTAACTACTGTTCCGCATTACCCGGTTATTTTGCTTACCTAATCTCTTTATTCTCTACTGAATTAAGAGATTAGCTATACATAATGAAGACTTGAGAAGTTTTTTAGTTATTAGCTTACTGCCGAAGATCCTGTTAACATGAAATGTGTATGTGCTAGAATTATTTCGGTTTTTTAGATTTGAAGCTTGGTGCTTTTGAAAAGTGTTATGATTCCGTAACAACTTTACAGTGCTCAATAAGCTTACGGTCGTTAGAACAATTTAAGGATGGGTAGCATCCACTGCTAACAATCTGGAATAAATGAAAAATTAGCTGCAAAGAATATTTAGTTATCGGAATAGAACTAGTCAGTAGACAATACCTAATAACCATCACCATTCCTCTGTTCTACGTAGACTGTAAAAATTCTTAAGTTGTCTTTTAATTTCATCGAGGTTTTGCAGTTTTACTATCTGTTTTGCTCAGGTTCTGGTCTCTTAAATTACAGAGGAATAATTCCAGATACCTACACTTTCGTTCTAAAATAGTCTTATATAGAAAGAGAAAAGTTTTTTTTAAATTTTTTTGAGTTTTTCTCTTATCTATGGTTGAAGAAAAACTACCTTTTTTTTTAAATTAAATTTTGCATTTTTTTTATTGCTAATACTTCCACTGCTTGTTGATTGAGCTACTGCTAAGCAGATTTTGCTTTATTCATTTATCAGATTCCAATTTTGCAAACTGGAGCATTAGTTTTAGGTAATTGGAGTTTTGCAATATACCACTTGAATATCTGTGGTACAAAGGGATTGCCAGGTAGCTAGAATCAAGCAAAAATCATCAAGGAAAAATGAATTAATATTGCTAGTTGACTTATCAATATTCTTCTCACGACTGACTGCCTTGCCTGTTTAGATTCTTCAGATTGAGGAGGAAGTAGACTGGTGTTTTTTTCTTTACGGAAAAGGTCTTTTTTCTAACGTACAATTGTTGTAGATTTTTCTAACATATAATCTTTTCTCGCTCGGCGGATTTATCCTTTCAGTTCTTACTAGAAGACTTCAATTGTCTTTGTTAGTTTCCCTACTCCACTCCTCTTCTTCTATGACATATAATGACTGTTTTTTCGTTAATCAGGTGGGTCTGACTAGCGCATATAGTTGAAAAATCACTCTTACACTTGATGAGAAAATTGCTCAAGAGTTACTAATTTGGCTCTTTTTCATCATGTTGTTTCTATTCACCTCTAACAGGCTAATTTTAATCTTCGTTCTTCACTCTTTCACGCTTTGCGTGAAAGTCTCTGTAAAGTCAGTCCAGCTGTGTCTTATCACAAATTTTGCGATCTCCACCATATCCACATTTTCGCCCGGCGCCTTAGTTTGGATGATCCTTTTATAATTTGGTTTTTGAACGAGCAAAGATCGTTTCATCTTACGTTTCTACAGACGACAACTCGCTCCTAATTCGTTTCTTTTACACAATAATCACCAATTGTTGTAGGTTCGTTAATTTTATTTTCTACGTAGATTCTGGTGCGACTTTTCTGCAAAGCGCTGTTGTTCTCACCTATAACACTTTTTTCAATTTTATAACGTTTTTTTCCTCTTAAGACATTTCCTCCACTGCAACAAATTTTATCTTTTTCCTACAGCAACTTTAGCATTCTCGTCGACAAGTCACTCACCAATTGGGTTACGATTACCATGACTGTAATTCGTGTGCCGTTTAAAATGCACATTATTTCAGATTGGAAGGGTGAAAGGCTTGTGTGGCAGGCATTTTTCTAATTCCCTTAAGTTTCTCAGGCGTAATGACCCTTTCAATATGTTAGGTTGTTTCTCATTTGCTACCATATTCTTGTTATGGCTTATACCACAACCAGGTAAAGTTGTTTTCAATTCCAATAATGCTTTTAGAGTGTAATTCCAAGTGCAGAAAAAATTGTCCTTTATGAATCCAAAAAGAAATGCCATGTAATTGTCATACTGTACAACGACCGAAAGTCAGCATTGGTA